TGTGCGCAGAGTGTGGCGGTCTGTGCTCCAGAGCTGCTGACAGGCTGAAAGCATTCCCGTCTGCCCGCTCACAGCCAACCCGGCAGCCAAGCGGGGACATCTCTGAATTCAGCTGCAGCGCTGAGGACGAGCCGCAGCGGTTGCTCACCAGCGGGGCCGGAGGGACGAAGAAGTGGTCGCTGAGCAGATGGGGAGGCTGCAGCTTTGGTCTGTGCTTCACCCTCAGGGGCGTCTGCTGCAAACGGGAGTAGAAGGCGTCAGCGAGGAGGCTGACGTGCTGCAGGCAGCTCTGTGGGCAGGGCTGGGAGACGGGGTTCCTGCTTCTGCCCGCATCTCTCACCCCTATCCTTCCCTTCCCCCCCTCGCATCTTGTCTATCTCGATCACGCTTTCTCTGGGTCCCCTCGGCAACTAGTTTGGGCAGATCACTGGGGCTGTGAGCCCAGGGAGAGGGTGAAAGCAGGGGTCCGTAGGAAGTTGTGTCTGAGGAACCCGCTCAAACCTGTGGGAGAAAATAATCCACCTGCTAGGAAATAAATCTGGGCAACGAAAAAGTGCTGAACTTGAGGGTTTTCTTGCTAAACTGGTGCAGCGTGTCAGTACTGGCACATGCCCGTCCACACGCCACCACGATGGGCACGTTAGCGGTGCCGGCGGCACGGGGCTTGGTGCAGGAATGGCTGCTCAGGCCCCTCTGCCGGACGCATGCAGAGGATTTTGGATACGGCTGAGTCCTTTTGGCATTGGACTGCCCCCGTCCCAGACTTGGGTGAGTTTTCCTGGCAGAGGATGGACAGACTCCACCAGGAGCCCTTGGGGTTCTTGACCACATCTCCAAATGTTTCCATAACTTTCTTGAGAAGAGGAAAAATATGGAATTAAATGTCCTGCAGATAATGGGAAGACAATGCAGGAGGCATGTAAAAGCAACTGGCTTTTACAGATTCCCCAAAGAATGAGTCCTGTTATAGCTGCAGTAACTGAAGTATTTCCAAAGCACTGCATGGACTTTAACTGCGATGCTCATTGTAGTTAATAGGATTTATTAAAGTCAGCAGGGACTTTCATTGCATCTCCTGACTCAAAGTGAATGCAGCATTACAGGTGTTCTGGCCTGACAGATAGTCTTTCCATGTCCAGCAGCACATAAAAGGAGGATTTGGGACTGGAGTAACCCTGCTCTATTGCTCTGATGACTGCTGAGGCCAGCGTATGAGAAAGCAGAGCACCAAAACCTCCTGCACGTCTGCTGTTCCCATTCAGAGCAGCACATTTAAGCCCAAAGTGTGTCAGCAACCTCATACGTTTCTTGTTTCCTTTGCAGAGGTGCAGGCAAGGCAGTGAGGATTGAGACCTTTGGTTTTGTTTCCAACAAAGACCATGCTGCTGTCGCCACCAAACGCAGATGGGACGGCAACGAGCAGAGCAGCAAATGTGAGAAGCCAAGTGAGGTCGAGGGCACTTAGTAATGAGATCTTGCCTTTGGGGGTGGTGGGGAAAGGCTTTAACAAAAGCATTTTTTTCCCCAGTTCACAAAATGGAAGCGGCATGTATGTTCAGTTGAGTTGCTCAGTTTATGTTGGCCAATTTTTTTCAGAATGTGCAGATGTTGAATTAACTGTTGCCCTGGGGAAAATGCTGGTGAGAATGGACCGGCCAAACCCTCATTTTCCCACGTCCCAGCAGGGCAGGGACAGTTCACAGGGAACAACTCTGCGGGGACACTGAATCTTGGAGAAGGAAGGTGGGTGCATGTAGGGTGAGAGTCCTTTATATTCGTTCAAGATGCTGATGAGATCTGACAGATCTTTTCATGTCATGGATATTTAAAATGCCCTGGGGAGGACCACACATCTTCCTGTTAACTGGGACAAGCCCAGTAATGGGGCTTCCGCTCTTTACTGTGGTCTGTTCGCCTGTGACAGCAGAGCGTGGTTTGGGCTGGGGTTGAGGATGAGGATGGATGGGCTGTGGTTCAAGTGCTGCGTTGTGCTCTGAGCGTGCAGCACCTCACACTGTATCTCTCGTGTCCGTTCACACTTGGAAAGATGGCATGGGGAAGTCAGGGAACAGGAGCTGACCGTGATCAGGTGCACACTTAAACGGCACCAGTGGCTTTGTCTGCACTCTGTGCGCCTGTTCCTCTGGAGTCCTTAAACATCTAGAGCCCATGTGCTTTTACCTGCCTCTTTCTCCAAAGCTCTGCTGCTGTGCCTCGTGCCGCTGCAGCGGGCATCGGCCTGTCCCCATCCCTCCCTCTCTGTCCCCGGGAAAGCAGCGCTCGGAGGGGGTGACACCTCTTCTCCCTCTGCTCCTCTCTTGATGGACCCAGTGAAGTCAGCAGGACGCTATGGCCTTAAGAGGTGAAAGGGGCGGTGTGAGATGCACATTCCCTTTCCCACCCACTGCTGTGCCCTCGCCAATTCAGGCAAAGATTTTCTGGATGGCCACATACAGAACTCGATGAGCATGAAAAGCCCAGAACTCATTTTGTTCAGGCCCTATCTACAGCCAAGAGCAAAGTTAATTACCGAACAAGGGCAGGCATAAGAGCTCCCAAGGTCCCTCACTCTTCCCCCCAAATAATTAACAAAATCAAACCAGTTGTTTGCTAGGAGACCTCGACCGTGCTCTAATGGCCGAAAGCTGATGAGCTGCACCACGCTGCAGTTACCCAGCCCCAGCCCGGAGCCAGGCTCAGCCTCTGCCCGGTGAGGCAGGGGCTCGGGGTGGGGATGGAGCAGGGAAGCGTTCTGACCTCCTCCAAGGTGCTGAGCCATGGTTGCTCTCAGAGCCAAGGTAGAAGGTTCAACAGACCTCAGGTTGGGCTGATTTTGATCTTGATAGCCAGACATTTTGATTATTATTTTTTTCTGTTTTTTTCTCCCCCATCTTTCTTCCTTTTTCCCAGCCACAAAGACATCCATCCATTAGTCTGACCATGCTGCTTTCCTCATCTTGAAGTGAACTGGTGACTGATGCGGGATGGATGGATGGATGGATGTTCAAGCATCCCCAGATTCACCATGAACTTGAACGGATGCAATAGGCAGTTTTGCCCTCCAAGGCTGGATGACAGCTCAGGCCAGGCTCAGCAGACAACTTTCTAGGACTGGAAACTGAAAAAAGCATTGAAAGCCTGGTAGCAGCATGCGGTCACTGGTGCCAAACATGCCAGGGTTTGGATGATTACTCCAGGGAATATGTGCACAGCTGGCAACATGGTGTGAGCTTTGCTCTGCTGAGGAGGGACTGGGGACATGGCCAGAAGACATTGTGCTCAAGGAGCATTTATTAGCACCATTGGCTTGTGCAAAGTGGCACAGCAGTCTCATTTTTCCACTCTGTTATGAGATGGACCAGTGCAAAGTCTGGAGATGAAAAGTCTGGATTTGTCCCCTGCTCTCCTGTATCAAATGAGCATCCAGGCCTCCAGAGGAAAAGTCCCAGAGCCCCTGTGAAGCCCCAGATGTTTTGCTCAGCCCAGTGGGATATTCCTTGTGTAAGGGAAAGCAAATCCTGTGGGCAGAGCTGAAGCTTATAAAGGGAAAGAAGACTTACTTGTCTGAAATAGAGGGGGGAAAAGTGTGTGAGTCTATGCACGTATGACAGAGAGAGAAGAGAGCAAAAGCAAATTAGATTTCTTTCTTTTATTATACAGGATTGTATGTACAAGGTCACCTTTCTCCCAAACATCAGCATCACAGTCAGTTCATAGCAAAAACTGCAGCTCATCTCTCAAAGCCTAGAAATCAGCTCTACAATGGCTCAGTACAACACAATGGATAAATTGTACAGGAACCGGAAAAAGGTAGGGGAAAGCACGGTTATCCCTTTAAATCCCTCATGAAGTATTTGAAACTAAGAAATGCAAATAAAACATTGTGCTTCAAGAGCCATGCTTGCTCCGGGATGGCCCTCAGGGGAGGGGAGCGTGGCCCCCAGCACCTGTTTTCCCCTTCACCCTTCAAAGAGAGATGCTGTAGATGAGGTCCGGCTTTGAGCGCTGGAGCAGAAAGCAGGAGTCCCCTTTCAGAGCACTCTACACCATCTGGGAAGCCACGCGTTTTGTGGGAGGGTTTGACCAAGGAGAAGCTGTGGACACCGTTCTGGATTCAAAGCACTGACATGTGTGTGTGTGTTTTGGAGGGGAATGGGGAAGATGGGCAGGACACATCTGATGTGAATAAAGTGCTGCCTGAGTTTCAGTCCCATCTGCCCCCGAACTCAGAAAAACTGGATAAGCCCACGAAGGAGGAACGAGCAAGAAGAGAAAGGCTGAGACACCTCTTGGGTGTTGTGACGTGAGGGGTTCCCACGACAAGCTGTGTGCTGGCTGCTGCAGCCCTCTGCTCGCAGGACATGGCACGGGTCAACAGCAGCTTCAATTTGGCTAGGCAGGGGAGGTGCTTGCACGCCCACATGCATCGTGCTTGGGGTATTCACCGATACCAGTCTGGTTACGCTCAGGCAGGCTGTCACGCTGCGCAGACCCGTCAGGCTGGTGATGGAGCACAGCCTTCGCAGTCAGGAGCAGGAGCTGTTGCGCCGCTCTCCTGCCGTGCCAGGTTGGTGTGAAGACCCAGCGAGGCTGGGGCAAGAGGAGACATGAGCGCCCTGGGGAAGGGACTGATGTCTCTGGCACTGGGCTGGAGAAGGTGGGTTACATCCCTTCCAGGGAGCAGCTGGTCCAAGAAAAGGGTCTCATCCACGCATGCATGCACCCCCTCCCTCTGCAGAGACTTGCTCAGCCTTCACACAGTGGCTTCCCAGTGGAGGACGAGGAGACCAAACCATTGAAGATGACGTCTGCTTTGTTTCACGTTTGGGAGCGCTTGCTTGCCTGCAGGCAACTTCCTTTCCCCTTCCTCTCTTCAAGCAGCTGCAAAGAGCACAGCACATGCACCAGCACCGGCTCCTTCCCCCCTGGAAATGCCCATGTACCTGCGGCAGCTCGTGGGGCAAAAGAGACTTGACAGGAGGTGACCGTTCTGGGAGGACAGCTCACCCCACGCCCTCTTCCTCAACATGACCTTTAGCGTGAGAACACAAATTGTCCAAACTGAGACAGTACTTTTCCCCCAGTTAGCAAATGCTCTGGCTCTCACCTAGCACAGGGAAAAAATGTCTTTATTGGGTTAGGCTTAGTTCTCCCTCCTCTCCTACAAAAAGCTCTAGAACATCTCTGACTCATTAGGTGACACAACCGCTCTCCCGTTATCCAGTCAGTGATGGTTATGGACTGTGCAGGGTCTGGTTCCTGCCTCTGCTGGCTGCAGAGCTCTGAATCCATTGCACGGGGTAGTGGGGATTCACTGGGATGATGAGTTTTCTTTGTCTTTGCTTTACAGATGGATGGAAGATGTTGGGCCATCTTTCTCCTTTTGAATGCCAGGTAGAGATGACAGCATCACTTCGATTCAGCTTGTCTTGCTCAACGTGCCAAGACAGGGGTTAGCCTCGTGCTTTCCTCACACTGTTGCTCACTGCTGTTCTGAATGGGCTGCAAGGAGACGAGAGAGAGAAGAGGGAAAAAAAGGTACATCGTTTTCTTTGAACCTCAAAGATTTGTCATTTAGGAAAGGGAGTGAGGGGCTGATCAGTGACCCAGCTGAGCAGCCAGGCTCAGTGCTAGGAGAACACAGAGGATCAGTGGAAAAGAGCATCTTCTGAAGCAGCAGCCCCCCCAGCCTGACATGCATGGAACGAAAGCTTTTGCTCAGGATCAGCCTCTAAAAAGCCATGTGCGAGCTGTACCTGGTTACTGTAGTCTGGCATCCTCCACATCTGTGTAATGGCTGTTCTCCTGGAGGGAAGAGGGAACCAGAAACAGTAAATCACCACGTGTCCCTCCTGCCCTGCCTGGACACCATGACACCTCACACGTGGTGACCAGCTGGTGCCATGGTGTGGGAGAGCTCACATGCCGCTCAGCGTGGTGGAGGAGCTACAAAGCACCCCTGATGGGGACAGCGGGTGCTGTGGCTGTGGTTTCTGGCAGATGCAGTCCCAGGCGAAACCAAAAATTGCCTCTGGCTCCTTATTCTGGAAGGGCTCTGCCAAACAGACCTGGGATGTGTGATTCCCTCTTGGATTTTGAAGTTTGGCTCCTGAAGAACCTCAAAGGGACTGGGATGAAAGTAAGCCCACCTTCCCTTGTGTAAAGTCAGGTGTCTGATCTGGGCTTCACCAGAGTCTGCACCTCTAGTGGGCATGTCCCAGGGAAGGTCTTGAGCCTGTGGCATGAGTTGCCATGCTTAGACTGGATGCCTAACTTCTGCATGGCCAGGTTAAGTCCATGCTCAGCACCTTCATAAAGTTTATTGCGTGTGCTTGCACAGCTCATGCCTGGTAGCACTGTGAGAAATTAATTTGGGACCAAGGAATGGCCTGCACCAGCGAACAGGCATTCCCGCGTTACTGGAACTGCCCAATGATGCTAAGGTGCAGTCAGTCCGCAATGGTAAATCGTGCACGATGTAACGACTCTGCTGTTGAACACAGAAACTGGTCCCAGTTTGCCGCAGAACTCATCATCCAGAATGATAACACTCATAATACTCATCACTTCAAACTAATATCCATCACGCCATCACTAACAGTGCCGGCGTAGTGAACTGCTCCCCATGCAACCGTGGTTTTGAAAGCACGGCATGTGAAGGTCCCTCTCCTGGAGCCGTTCTGCAATGCAGGGTCATTAAAAGAACTATGTGCTCAGCAGTAGTATTTTATCTCCTGCACAGGTCAAATGTTGTGATGAAATGCTTTAGAGATGGAAATGGATCCAGGAGATGTCTGCAGGGGATGCTAGGGAATCTGTAAAGGCAAGGCAAGGGAGCCCAGTCCCAACCGTGTCAGCAGCAGGCTGCTTTACAGGGCACTGCAGGAGATAAAGAGATCTTTACAATTAGGGAAACCAACAGGGTCTTTGCAGAGACCCTACAGGGGAAAAGCCTCAGGACTGCGATGCATGATGAAGGGGCAGCTGGAGACTACGCTCAAAGGAGCAGTGGATGGAGACTCCCAAGAGAGGGAAGTCTGGAGGCTTATGACTTCTGGCAACCGAACAAAGGCTCCTTCTCTGCAATTACAGAGCAGGCAGCGCCCTGGGAACAGGCTCTTCAGGAAAGCCAGGCGAGGTGGCATGTGCTCTGGGCAAAGGAATAGCCCAGATGCACAGGGATTTGCCTTGGAACAGATGCTGAGTCAGCTGAAAGCTTGTGGGTGAGGATCAGGGGACAGACCAACATGGGTGACATCATGGCAGGCATCTGCTACAGACCATCTGATACGAAGTCTCCTCTGGATGGCTGGAGGAGGCTACCTGATCACAGGCCCTTGTATTCCTGGGGGACTTCAGCCACCCTGGCATCTGGTGGGAGGGCAGCAGGGCTGGGTGCAAACAACCCAGGAGATTTCTGGAGAGTGTCAAGAACAATTTCTTGACACATCTGACTGACCATCTGACTAGGGAGGGACATTTTTCTGGACTGTTACTGATGACCAAGGACTAACTGGTCAAAGGTGTGAAGATGGATAGAAGTCTTGGCTGCAGTGACCGTGAGACTGTGAAGCTGAGAGAAGTGACCAAGATAAAGAGCAGAATCAAATCCCTGAACTTAAAAGAGCAGATTTTGGGTTGTTCAAGGATCTGCTAGGCAAAATCCCATGGGAGACTGCTCCAGAGGGCAAGGCATTTGGGTCATCTTCAAGGACACCTGTCTCAAAGCATGGTCCGTTCTGATGACAGTTGGGCAGCTGTGGCAGGATGCCAGCATGGATGAACAGCAAGCTCTCAAATGAGCTTTTTTCCTACATGAAAAGACAGAATCTAGAAGATGGAAAGCAGAGCTGAGCCACCCAGGAGGAATACAGAGTGTGCAGTGATGGAGTCAGAAGTGCAGCTGCAGGTACACTAGCAGGAAAAGGAAGGCTAAGGAAAGTGTAAGCTCACTGCTCAATGGGGCAGGGGACCAAGGGACCTAGTGACAAAGCACACGGAAAAGGCCAAGGTACTCAATGCTTCTTTTTTCTCTTGGTTTTCACTGGTTCAGTCTGTCTTTTGGCCTCCCAGGTCCCTGAGCCTCATGGCAGAGCATGTGGAAATGAAGCATTACCTACTTTATCCTTCCTCTGCAGAGCTCCTTTCTTGCTCACCCTCTCTGAAAAGAACACAAACTCATGCTGGGAGGGTGGCCCCCTTCATTCTGCTCCCTGTGGGCTGCAGTGTGTATTTTGGACTTGATTTCCCCAAGTGACGTTGGAAACTTCACCAAGGCCAAGCAGAGATTTGTGCACAAAACCAGGGCAGCAACTTTGCACTGGAAGTGGGGCTCAAAGGAAGTGTTTGCCCAGCTCCCATTGACCTTCAATGGGAATTGTGTGCCTGACTCCTTTGGGGTCTGCAATGCTCCCCCTCACCCAGCTGCAGCATTGTGAAGCACCACTCTGCTAAGCCATAGTATTTTCATATGAGCTCTGGTTCAGTGAACCCCACTCTGAACAGAGATGCTCAGGTCCTGCTTGTCCCCAGGAGACATCCTACAGTTGTCCACAGGGTATAGGTGGGACCTAAACCCAAGACCAATTGGATCTTCTCCACTTGTCACCATGGGGAAAGAGGTTCATGGCAGAGAAGCCTCTGTGCTGGGTACTGCCCAAGTGTTGGCAGGTCTGGTTCCTGCCTTGCGTAAACTATGTCTTTTGCATTTGTGATGGATGTGCTCCTCCTGTCTGAACTAACTGGATTTTGGTCCAGGCAGATGCTCAGCAAGTAAGCCTAAACCAAGTTAATCCTATTGTTTGAGGCAATCAGTGAGAACCCAGGACCAAAACAAAAAAAAATAAAAATGGTGTGGCTGGAGACTGGGCTGATAAGCGGCCGAAACTGCATGAACACAGCAGAAAATCTGAGTATGAATCAACCTCTTTACGTTATACTATAAATATTTGCACCCATCAGGGACTGTTGAGCTCTCAGTCCATAGCAGCTGGCTGGGCAGCGGGGATCTCCCCTTGAGTGAGAGATCCCTTACCTGACACCAGGCATCGACTGGTTGGTAAGTGACATTTTTTGCATGCGTGTAACATTTAAGATACATATCATAAGCTTACATGATAATCTTTGCATCCCGTACTAACGTGTGTAGTAAATAGTATTGACCGCCAATCCAACTGTACTTATTAAATATTTTACATATCTAAATTTACTGATTGGAACTCAGTCAACTAACTACTAGGTAAGATCTGAGTACCTCTGACTTTTCTCCTGCGACACTGCTGTCCCTCTGAGCCAAGGGTAGATAATGTTTTTAGGGACCAATGTGGGCACCATGTCCATGAACAGCAGGTGGTGAGGGCCACACTAATGTGTGTAAGCCAAAGAGATGTGGGATAAATGAGTCACTCCCCAGGAACTGGAAAGACTTCAAAACTGTTCAGTGTTGTAAGGTCAGGAGCAAAATATAAAGGACAGCTTCTGTGAGTCACCTTGCAGTGTTTAAGAGAACATCCTTGCAGACGAACTGCACGCGTTAACCTGCCCCATGCTGAGCACATGCGAGCCTGTCTGATGTTGGCAGTTGTCCTGGTTCTGGCAAGGATAGAGTTAATTTCACAAGGAGCCAGGACAGGTAAAAATATTTCTGATCTCAATGCCACTTTAGGACTGGAGTTACAGAAAACAGAGATGGAAAGGAGCTGAAATAGTCATCCTGTTCACCTACTCTTAATGAACACCAGCTTTTCTTAAATGATTGCTAGCAGATGTCTGTCCCCTCTGTTTTCTTAACCCACTGATGGCAGAAAAGTCTGTATTTTTTTGTTGACAGGCTGTGCGCTGCTTTATCATCATTAGCATCAGCAAGTTTCCCCCTAATTTCTACCATCTGTTCCCCTTGATGTAATTCAAACCTGGTCTTCGTTATCCTAATTGACATAGAGATGGAGGCCACCTTTTGCCTTTCTTCTTTATGTTGCCTTTCTTTATCTGTTATGATCTCTCCCCTTAATCATCTCTTAGATTTAGCAGGACTCATGGACTTCAGCTATGAGGCCCCAGAAACCAAAACAGCTGAAAGACCCCGTTCACATCCCTCATCCATCATGACTAAGGTCGAGCAGAGTAGAAGAGTACAATGAGCTGGGAAGTGTTTTGAGTTAGAGGAGCTTTTTGGCCATAGGAAGAGCGCCATGCACGTGCAATGTGGTGCGGTCACCTCAGCGATGCCGGGGTGAGGAAGAAGAAAGTGATGCTGAGCTTCATCCTCACTTCTACTGCCACCAGTGCCGGGGTGGGGAAGGAGCGGAGCTGTTGCAGGGGACACTCGGTTCAGGCTCAGAGACATGCCCCATGCCTCCGCAGGAGAGCCATGCCAGCCAGCCCAGCTTCCAGGGCTGCAGCCCTGTGGAAGAGGCAGCAAGCAGGGCTGTCCTTCCACCCCAGCACCCTGTTGCCCTTTGCCTGGGTCTGGAGCTGATCCTGTTCTCAGAGGGGTCTTAACTGGGGATAAATGACAGCGCTGCCAGTGGCAATACAGCGCCCTGTATCACCCTTACCATCAGAGTGCCCAAGAACAGGGCGTCCACCCAGATGCTTTTTAGGCACAAAATCTGTTCACTGGGAGTGTCCTTATTCCGGGCAGGACTAACGTGAATGGGGCTGACGTGTGCATGACATCAGGCCAGCCACGCTCAAGCGCTGCCCTTGCTGTGGATGTGGCACAGCGCTTGTGGCTTGCTCAGACCTTATAACTAGGTTTCTGCCATTTGGTGTCTGTCCAGATGAAACGCGTGGTGTTAGGGAAGCGCAGATAATACAACGTGGCCGGTCTCTGCCGTGTGCTTCAAGCCATCTGAGAATTACTTGGGAGTTTTAACCATTAATTAATAGTTGTGAAATCAAGGATAAATGTGGTCCAAATTTCAAGAGTCAAATATGTTTCTTCTGTGTCTCCACATACATTTGATAGGTCAAAGCTTTTGCAAGCAGCAGAACAATTTGAAAGAACAAGCTGTGAACAATCATGGGACTTAAACACAACAATTTCTTTTGAGGAAGGAGAAACTACTTTTCTGGGGATTTAGTAAGTTCCAGTAAAATTCTTGTTGATTACTGAACTCCTTTGGCGGAGGGATGTATTAACCAAACTCTCTTACCAGTTCATCTTCACACTCATCCCGTGCGAGACCCTCTTCCTCACCCTCGTCCCCGTTCAGCGGCTCCTCCGTGTTGACCTCTGCCTCTGATGCCGTGTCTTCCTGCGAGACTTCGCTTTTGTTGCCATCTGCCTTCTTCCGTACATCTGGGAGAGCAAGAGCCAAGCCATCAGGGGCTGGGGGAGGCAATGGTTGGAGCCCGATGGCACTAATCCAGTGGGCCTCCAAATTCAGTTGGTAGGTAAATAACAGAGCTGGGGGTTTTTTTCTGCAATGGGAAGTTCTGCTGATTTTGAGGAAGCTGCCTGAAAGCAACCCTGGAGAGGGCAGAGCAGGTCATCATTCTGCATGTCTCTGGAGTGAGTGTGGGAGGCAGATAGAATAGAATAGGAATAGAATAATAGAACAAAAAAGCAAACTAAAAAAATACAAACTATATCACAAAAGAAAAAAAATAATCTCATCATTTAAAAACCTAATTCCATAATTTGGGGAATTTTGGTAATTTTTGCCTGTGATTCCACCCTGGAACCTGGGTCTTGACACTTCACTGTCAGAGCCCAGGGGATGCTCTGAACTGCAACGGTTTAAGGCCAGCTCTGCCGGTGAGTCCCTGCACTCCACCTGCTCTCAGACCAGCCCTGAGGCATTGGTGTGCACCCAACTGACCTGCGGACAGCTTCTGTTCTTCGGCGATCTGCTCCAGCCGGCCCAGGAGAGCATCAATGTTGGATTTGATCTGCGTCAGCTCAGTTTTGATTGTTTGCAGCTCGCTGCACTTCACTTGGAGGAAGGAAGGAAGGAAGGAAAGAAAGAAAGAAAGAAAGAAAGAAAGAAAGGCGTTTAGTGCCCTGCAGAGCATCCAAGGTGGGCAGGTGAGGAGAGGCTGGCTTTGCACGGAGCAGCAACGCGCCCTCCTCCACCGCCAGCCAAGCCTGTTACGGCACTGGCAGGAAAAGCCAGGGAGGGCTGTGGGTGGTTGTATGCACCCAAAAGAGCCTCTGTGTCTGTTGTCCAGGCATGCTGTGGAGGCTGACACCCGGCTTTGGCATGCTTAGGTTGTTACGTGCATCTTCCCCTGCTGCAGTCGCAGCCTGCGGGCTTCTGAAAGGCCCTTGCTTGGTGTGTTGTTTCCAGATGTTTTGGGTTTTTTAAGGTTTTCCCTGGGAGCATCTGGCCCTGTGGGTGAACACCTGGGGATGGGAGGTCCACGTGCACACCAATCTCTGCACCGTCCCACTGCACCCCACGCACATACTCACACTTCAACTTGGCCGAACTGTTGGCGATGGCAGCCGATCTGGCGAAGAGCTTGACGGGGAGCGTCGCCTTCACGCGCCGGACGAGGGGGATGGTCACCCGTGGCCGCTTCACAGGAACCACCCTGGGCACCGGAGAGACTCGGCCCCGGTACTCAAAGAGCCTGGAGCAGGGGGGAAGGATGGAAGGGGCTGAGCAGCTCTGCAGCACCCCCAGCCCTGCTGTGCCGGCCATCGGGTGCCACAACCGGAACCCAGACAGCACCGGTGGTGAGCAGGGGCACAGCCTGGCTGGTGGACCCCACCACGCCTGGGCTGGACCACCCTGCACCCCACCGCGCTCCCCACGGCAGGAGCTGCACTGTAGAGGGAAGATCTCACCCCACAGAAAACCCCTTTGGCTGATGCCTCCCCTGCTCACCTGTCGTAGAAGTCGTCTCTGTAATAGTCATAGTCGAAGTCATAGCCGCTGCAGAGACAGAGTCAGGATGGCATGGGTTAATAGTGCGGGCAATGTATTATTATTATTACCCCCTCATTGCCTGCTGAGCCTCCCAGGTCCTTGATTTATTCCCCCTCCACAGGGGACCCCCCTGTCCTTCCACCTGGCAGGACATGCACACGCGTCATCCCGGCTGCGGGTGTCTGCAGGGAGGTGGGCTGAGCCCGGGGGAAAGATCTGGAGGGGCTGAACGCACCGGACAGGGTGATGTTGGCAGCAGAGTGTCAACCTGGTTATCTCAAGGTGGAGCAAGAGGATGCGTGGGAGGATTAAAACCTACACACTGGGGTGGGGAGAAACGTCCACAAACACCTTGTGGGGATGTCCGCATTTAAAGCGATGGCTTAGTCTGGGGAGCGGGGACCAACTTAGATGCAACTTAAATGAAATTGCTGCAGTTTTGTAGAATTCGTCAGTCCTGACAGGCTCAGGTGAACTGTTCTGGCTAGCTCCAGCAATGCCCTGGAGCCAATGTTCTCTGTAGCCACAGGCAAGAGAAGCCCTGCGGCTCAAGGACTCCAAATGGGATGAAGCAGTGTCTTTAGTCACGGCAAAACCTCCCTCCATGGGCTGTTGCTCTTGCTGGGAAGCTCACTGTGGCTTGGAGACCATGAGGCAGCTTTAGATCATTTGTTCATAAACAACACAAAGCTTGGGGGCATTTGGGAAAACTTTGAAACACCCGCATTCCTTTCTTCTTGCCCTAGTCACAGTCCTGCTCTGAGCCAGCTTTTCTCCCAAGCCTTCACTCCCCGGTGGGAACCCTGTTGGTAGAGCTGTGGACAGCGGGGGCTCCACACATGGCCGGCTCCCCAGAGAGACAGGGATGGAGAGGAGCTGCAGCTCCAACCCCATCGCATGGGCATTGCCCTGCTGCTGCCAGCACTGTCCTGGGCAAAGCTGTGCATCTACAAACAAGGGGTGAAGCCCTGAATGGGGTGAGCACCCTTCACCTCCATCACCAACCCTTCTCTGCGGCATTTGGGCACCTCCACCTCACTCCAGGGCTCTGCTACAGCACCAACAGGATGAAGCCTGGCCTCAAGTACCTGTAGATCCAACCTGGTGTGGACTGGAGAAGGATGGAGAAGTCTAAAACCTCAGGTGAAGTCCTAAGCCTTTTTCAAAACTAGTCAAAACAGCAGTTTGGTATACAAAGTAGCTAATAAACACCGTAAATGTTATTACGCCATTGGCAGTAGGGAATTCATGCAGTGATAGGATGAGGGGGAATGGTTTTAAACTAAAAGAGGGGAGATGGAGATGAGATGTGAGGCAGCAATCCTTCCCTGTGAGGGTGCTGAGGCCCTGGCACAGGTTGCCCAGAGAAGCTGTGGCTGCCCCTGGCTCCCTGGCAGTGTTCAAGGCCAGGTTGGATGGGGCTTTGGGCAACCTGGGCTAGTGGAGGGTGTCCCTGCCCATGGCAGGGGTGGGACTGGATGGGCTGGGAGGTCCCTTCCCACCCTAACTGTGTTGTATCATTCTATGATTCTATGAATGTGTGAGCAAAGCTGGGCAGCCTTGTGTTTTTCTGGTGGAAATTGCTACTGGCCCAGTGTTGCTGCTTGTTTACAGAGGTAGTGGAGTTGCCTTACAACACGCCTGATCTGCAAGAGCATCTACTAATATTTGTGAGTGAAAAGCAAGGGGGTAGGGGTGTTACTCCTACCCTGGCCCCGAATCCTCAGGAGACACTTCCACCCATTTCAAAAGGAATTAGGGGCATAATCGCCCTGGGGAGCTGATCCTGACTTCCCCACAACAGTGGGATTCATCTCACTTAGCTTCAGACACTGGGAATGTAAAGAGAGAAATGCAAGCCAGCGGGGCAAGAGGCAGTCCCAGGTCATGGTACATCACATCCAAAGGCAGCCATCTGAAGTACTGTCAGGTGAAGAACTGGTTTTTTACCCAGCAAGCATAAAGGGACTCCAGACAATGAGACCACATAAAAGCTCTGACAGCACAGAGGGCTGCACTGACAGGAGATGAATCCACCCTCAGACTGAGTGCGGTACGGGACAGCCAACGCTCTGATGTCAGCCGCTGGCAGTACGCCTTCAACGCCTGCTGACCGTGAGACAGCCCTCAGGGAAGGCAGCAGGCTGAAATAAGGGATTTTCGGAAGCCCGTGACTGTATGACCCTGCTATAACATGCAGTCGGGTCATGGCTTCACAGATAATGCCAGGGAGGCATCCAGTGGCTGGATGCTTTTACCAGCGTCCTTCGAAGTCAGGTGCTGAGCAAAAGGCACATCTTCCAACATGAATGCAGGAAAAAAGCTAGTAAAAAGTGAGCGCCTTAGCGTGGGTGATTTATCTGGACACTGTGGGCCTGAAAATTTCACTGCACGTACGATAAACCTTCCTGAGACTGATGGATCATTTTTCAGTGACCTGGCAGTGCTTCCTTTGTGTACAGGAATAATTTTTGCCATTTTTCAATCAGTTGGTGACATTGCGCCCTTTAAAAATAAAGCAGGGACAATCAGAGTGAGAAGCAGCAGAAGGCTGTAAGGCTGTGTCAAGTAACATGCTGCTTCCACCTCCTGATGCATTTCTTCTGCTTTTCTTTAGTAATTAAATAAACTTTTATTAATGACTCACAAAGGTTCAAACCCCAGATATTCATAATTGAAGGGCAATTGTTTATATGTGCTGCCTTTACATTACATTTGTGGTGCCATTTCTGAGCACGTACCTGAATCGCAAATGTACATTTGAGCGACTGTGCTTTTAATTACTGCCTGACAGCCCCGCACCGATAATCACAAGTGAGACGTTGTGCTCAGCCTGCATCCTTCTAATGGTTGCACAACCATTGCAGCGGTAGAAATAATACTCGCTGGAAAACTCCTTGGAAAATCTGGCATTGATCAAATAGTGAGCTTTTAAGATCTTGTGTATCCGGTGTGAGATTCCTTCCTCCTGCAAATAGCCAAGGCAGTGGGAAGCTGGGAGAGGAACGTGGGAAGGGAGCCCGGCATTTCCAAGATGCCGGGGCTGCTGTAGGCTGGGACAGCGTGCACATCCTTATCGCCAGTGTTGGGTCTGTTGCGTTTGGGTACCACTGCTCGCCTCCTCCTCTGCCCTGCGGGTGTTTCTCAGCCCTGTCCTTGTGGATTTGGCACTAGGGCTTGTGGGGGTGTCACTGCTCCCAGCACCGCTGCTGAGACGTGGGAGGAGTGGATCTGTTTGGAGATGGGTTGACACCAGCTTTCAGCAGGGAGCATAATGGGTATAACAAGGGATGCGGATGCTAGCTGAGCTGGAAGGACATCATCCACTTGCATCTGTAAACTGTGAAAATAAGTCAGCGGTGGTTTGTTTCTGTCACCAATTCAGAGATGGTTCCTTGGGCCACTGAGCTGCCAAACACTGGGTAGCTCTTGCAGTTTTTGTTTTGGTTGTCCTTGCTGTCCTTCTGGCTACAGAGCAACATTAGCACCAGTGTTACAGGGAAGGGCAGAGATTTGTGCCTCCAAAGGTCAAGTGCAGCAGTGGCAGACCCCACTGCCCTGGGGCAGACCCAACTCACAGCACAGCAGTATCACTGGCACGACCTGAATGTGGCCCCAAATGCCCCAGGAAATCCCATCCAGACATTTGCTATGCAGGCAAAAAAAAGTGTCGCCAGAAGGCAAACCATTCTGAGACACAGTATGTGAATACCTGGGGGACATGGTCAACACACAAATTCATTTTCCAGCCATCCTCACTAACTGATTTGCAGTACGTCCAGGCACGTCTGCGTTCGGCAGTGGTGGCCGGGGTACCAGGCAGGAGCACCCAAGGGACTTCCCATGTGCAAAGGGATGCTCTGGCGAATGCCAGAGGCAGAGGGAAGGAGGCCCCGAAGATCCAGAGAGATGATTGGGGGAGAGCAGTGGTGACAGCAAGGTTTTATATTAACTGCAGGTCCCTCTTGTGGAGAGACCGGAGAAAATTTATGATGGCATGAACCTGGGTGTATGTTTTACCTGTTGGAGGTAGATGGGAGGCTGTATCCCAAAGGACTTCTATTAAACACCCAGATACCCCCCTGGTCTGGGGGGATCAAGAAAGACTGTCAAGACTGTTGCTTTCTCTATGTCCAAAATGAGATTTGCCTTCCCCTTCCCTTCCCCTTGACCCTCTCAAACAGACTTGGAGTGAGACAAAGTAAAACCCAACCTTTGAAAAAATCTTATGTGTTTAACACAGCATTTCTATAAATTACAGTGCTGTGATTTTTGAAGTCTAACATTTAGAAAAATTTATGATGGTTAGGGAAGCTATAACCACGGCTCACTGCAAACCTGGATTCCCTGCTTTCTGCAAGATATCGTAATTTCTGCTAGTCCAGATGGCAAAGTTTAAATCCGTCACCAATCTGGGATGAAATATTGCTGAAGCTCAGAGCAGTGTAGTTCTCTGGCCCATATTTTAGCATATCCATATTTGTGGGAGGAAGGAAACATCTCTCATTCGCTCTCTCTTCATCTACAGCCTGGAAGTGTGAAATATGGGTCATTTCAACAGAAATGGATTAGTGGCCAAGGCATGGACGAAGAGCAAGTGAAATCTCTTTATTGCAAGATGTATGGAATGAATTGATTAGCGTTATGGCTACCAGCACCACGTAAGTACTATACATGCAGCTAAATAGAAAGATTTGTGTCATCTCTATTTCCATACATCAGCGTGGGTAATGCACAGAGAGACCACTTCCCCTTGACTGCCGTCCCCTGTGAACCCTGAGGGCCAGGTTCTGGTGAAGGGCCAAGCTGGCCCAAGGCGGGAGGAAGAATTTGCCTGGTGAGAGCTGCAAAGGAAGAGCTCAGCTGAGAGACCCGGGGAAGGTCTCCACAGATGCCTTGGGGGTGGGAGGGTTGCTGAAGCTCTGGTGGGTTTGCCTATGCCAGAAGAGCGTTGCCACCACTGAGGTTTGCCACTTCATACCACACTGGTGGTGGACTGCGTGGCTGAGTCTGCATCATGGGTTTTTTTTCATTTCTCTTCATCCCTCTCACTTTTTTGTTTTCTTTTGGTAGAAAAATCTACAGTTCTCTTGTGATTTCCTTTTTTATTACACCCACCTATAATCCTGATACTGACTTTAGTTTGTTCTTCCCAACATCACACCCTCCAAATCCTGACTCAGTGCCCCAGTCTCCATACCATGAGATTGGCATAAAAATAATGAGAATTTATAAATAAAACACATTTTGGGATCTTGTTATTTGTTTGGGGGTTCTTGAAACCTGCAGCGTACTCTCCAAATACCTTTTCAAGTTTTCCCTTCTGCAACCTCAGGAGCAAGATCTTAATGAGTTTCTCCCATATTCCCATGACTCCAGACTCTGGGGCTTAAATTAAAATCTTCGCTTCCTGTGAAAATCTTGATAAAGTCTCTAGAGCTGGTGACACTGCCATCCGTGACACCCTGCATCTCCCACAGACCTACTCCATGTCCCATCTGTCCCTCCCGTTCCCTTGATCCCTTGGTCACTGCTCTGCACCACAGGCTCCCCTGGGGATTCCCCCAGCCTCCTCCTTGGATCACTTCCATCCGTTGCCCCAAGGGCTTCCCACTTTCTTCTTTCTTCTCTCCCTTTCCCTGTCATTTTTCTCTTGCCCTTTTCTCATCCCTGTTCTCCCCCAACACGCAACATACACCACTGTGCCCCACTCCTACTCCCCAGCTGGAGGAGCTGGGGCTGGAGGGGACCGCTCTTTTGTAACACCTCTTTCAAGACCTCCGATGTAGTTAAAGCAGGTACTGCTTGCTTTTCTCCAACGATCTCCAGGTCCAACACCGTTCACAGTTGGACCGTGCCCAGGCAGAGTCCCACAACACCATGGGCATCGGCCAACCTTCGGTCTGCCACTGACGCCTCTTGTTCTGCTCCCTGCACCCAGGGGCATTGTGAAGCCCAAGAAGCCCATGGGAGGAGAAGATCTGAACGTGCCGCAGCAGCCCAGGGCTGCCTGGGGCAGGGGCCAGGGAGCTCAGGGCCGTAGCCCGGGGGTATGAAAATCGGCCCCAGATGGAAGGCAAATACCAGCCCCAAGACCTCGCTGCAGGGAGGTGGAGAGGTGGAGACCTACCTGTACAACGCGGAGGCTGCTCTCTTCAGCCCTTTAGGTCTGTTAGGTTTAGGTTCCCCGGCCATGTTGATATCTGCAACGAATAGACACGCAGCTGTGACACGGCACATCCACGCTCACCGGCAGCCATAGCCGACCACGGAGCGAGGGAGGCTGTGCACAGCCCTGCCATCAGCAGAAACAAACTCCTCCATACCTCCCACCGCACCTCCACCTGCTTCCAGCGTGTCTGGGGCCCTGCTGGACCTCCACAAGAAGGCAACTATACTGTTGCACTTGGCAAGCCCCTTCCTTTTCCTTTACAAAGCCACTAACCATTTTGAAGTCAACGTCCTGCCCATGGTCTAACCGCCCCCCCCAGATTCAGGACAGGCTTCTGAGGAGAACGCGGTGCTGTTACGATAAGGCACAGACAATATATGAAACCGCTGCACACTGCTAACTGCTAACAATTTATCCCTTGCTCCTTCTATAGTAAAAATGAAGGCTAAGCACGAGCCAGCCTCCCATCACTGTGGACTGGGCTGCGTTAAGAGCTGCACGGGGTGCAGGCTCATGCCTGCAGCCACCCCAGCTGATCTCAGAGGAGCATCTTCTACCAGGGGAGGTGAGAACGAGCTCTTCTAATCCGCTGCAGAAATTCCTCTCCTTGGCCTCGGTGCCAAACGTGCTTTTGACGTGAGAATAAAGTGATACAGCCAATTTTATGGAGGCTGCCGAGAGCCTGGCAATCTAACACTGAACGTGGCCCCGGAACTGCAGGAGGTGAGCTACTGTGAGCACGAGGCCTCACCTCCTCTTCGTTTCTTGACTTAGGAGTGAGCAAATTCCCTTCTGGCTTCTCCAGTCAGCCCTAAACTTTTTCTGTTCTTCAGGTCCTTTCTGTCTAAGTAGGTGTCAGACCTCCGGGCCTGCCAGATCCAAGCCAAGGAAGACAGGATTTCCTTATGTAGACCAAAAGCACCGTTTGCACGGGGCTGGACACGGGCTGCCCAACAGCCCTGGGACAGGTCCCTGTGCTAAGCTGGTGGCACGAGTTACACAGGTGGATTTGAGGGTCTCCATCTGGGGCTCAGGGTTCATGGATCTGCGACTGCAAACTGGGGTATCGAAGTTCTCACCTCTTCAAGACTTACGAGATATGCCATGAAACTCAGTAGGTTTAAGCTTACTAATTGTTGCTTTTTTCATGCTGCATGAAGGGACTTTATGGAGAAATGTGGTCAGGCTGGTGTGCTCACCATCAAAATAAAGAGCTTGCAAAGTGATCCAAACAGTCTGCTGACTTCATTATTAACCACAAAAACCATCTTCAGGAGCACACAAAAGCTGCAGCACTGCTGAAGCAACCTGAGCAGGAGAAGTACAGGCTGCACACCTGGGACATGGCTCTGGAGGAGCACGGATATGCTCCCACCACCCAAATGTCTTGCTCTGCCATTCCTCGGACTGCCTTTTAGGCTCTAGCAAGAGACATCATTCCTACTGAAGCCGGAGCTTAGCCTATTTATAAGCTTTATACCACACTTATAACGAGCGTGGTATTAGGGTGCTGCTCGGCCACCACATTGAATGTTCCTCTGGAGGCACATTCAGATCAGAGCGTGTGTTTTCTTTGCTGCCTTTTACCCTCCATCCTCCCATACTCAACTGCAAAGAGGAATGCAGAAGACTGTTGAGCCTGAACACTAGCAAGGATGTGCACGGCCGTAGGACAGGTCAGTGGACAACTGCTGCCAGTGTAAAAATGCATTCGGTTGCCTTTCTGAGTCTGCTGAGCAATGCAATGCTTCTGGCAATGCTGTTTGCTGTAAAGGAAGAGAGCAATAAATGCTCTGGTGCATCCCAGAACACATCCCTGCTCAGCTCCAGCTCCCTTGTCCTGAACCCTTTTTGCTGTCAGGGTGCATCTTGCCAGCTGCCAGTCACTTCTCTTGCAAACTGGAGAGTTAATGACAGCACCATGCTGATTAACACCGTTCAAGGGAGATGCACTGAAAGCCCAATGGTGGATAATGACAACAATTAGCTCAATTAGCTGGTATGCACTGCTAGAAACAGCACTGCGGAGCCTTCATTGGTTCATGCAGACAGACCAGGAAACTTGTACTTTCACCTATAGTGGTGATGAGCAGTCAGATCCCTCAGGATTCACTTGATTGTGAACAAGGAGAGACAAGAGCTCAGCATGCACACCAGCCTGGACAGATTTTGAATGTCATTCCCATTCTTGCTCCCTCCTCTGCACCACTGAATCCATCTGCCCACCCCAAGGCAGTATCTACCCCTCCTGCTCATATCCAGGCACCTTTGCCCATGGTAAATGGGGAGGTTGTGCTACATCTAGCCAAGATGGTAGGGTCAGGTTATGGTGTGGATCCAGCTTCCAGTGCAGAGCTCCCTTGCTGGAATGGTAACTGCTTCCTGCAATGACTGGGATGTCTGGGAGCCTCTGGAGAAAGCACAGAGGTTGCCAGGGCCTGCCTGGCAGAGCAGTCCATGTCCCAGCACAGGATGGGCTACAGCCGTGGTTTCAAACACCTCTGTTTTGTGATGCATTCCGTTTTGTGCTGATCAGTTTAAATGCAAGTTTGATTTTTTTGCATATCTGGTGACAAAGGAAGAAGAAGAAAAAAGAAAAAAAAAATGGCAGAAATGCTATTAGACCACTTAGCTTAAGAGCTGACCTTAGCTGGGAGACACAAACTAGCAGGATGCTGCTGCTTTGCTTATTCATTATGGTACATGCTGGAAAATGTCACCTGCAGATCACCATTGGCACTCAGGAGCAGACGGAGGGCTGAACCCCCCTGCCACCACCAGCACGTGTAACTGTCCCATGGCAGCGCAGCCAGCCGTGCTCCTGGGGAGGGCAAGTGCTACCGAGAGTGGGAGTCACTGACAAGGGTTACTGCAAGCACGAGCTTTTCTGTGATGTATTAGAAGGTCTCACAAGAGCCTTGATGGATGCTGGGGGAGATATGAGATCCTCAGACAGCGTGACCACTCAGATGAGTCCGGCACAGCACTCACGGCACACACAAAACAATGATGCTTCCCCACAACACTTCCCAAACGCTGGCACAACTTCTCTTCCCATCTGAGCAGCTGAGCCAGGAAAGGCAGTTTCACTCGAACTGCGCCACGCCGGTCATTACAGCAAGTGCCTGACGTGCAGGAGCGGCTCTGGATTCGGACAGGGATGCTGTCCTGCTGAGCCACCACCTGCTCGCAGCGGGTACAAGTGGCCTTGCACTGTCAGCAAGCTGCTGCCCCTCGGCAGGTTGGGGACACTTTGCCCCTACACTGGGCACTGCCTTGAGCCATGCTGCCCCACCACGCGGGTGGTGGTTCCCCATCAGCTCCGGCCGTGCCAAACGCAGCCCTTTGCCTGGTGGTCATGGTTTGCAGCTCTTCCATGGGACCACGTGGTTGCACCCTGCTGAAGGTACTGGCTGGAGCTGCCTACCTCCCTGCTGCCTGCCTGGCAGCATCATCATCTGGTTTTATCATCACCTCAGAGGACCCCTCCAACATGCTGCCCATGACCAGAAGCAGGGACAGTCTCTTCAGCAATGTGTCTGCCATATGCCCTGCCCGTCCCATCCTGTCCCTCCTCTCCACATTTCTATGTGGCCATCACCTCCTCTTTTTTTAGGGAGGGACTTTCTACCTTGTGCAAAGACATTTTCTAACCACATTGTTCAGCTTCTCTGCTGGATTCTCCTGAAAGGGGAGCATCCCCATGTTTATACTGCTTCACGAACAGCAAAGGAAAGCCTGCTTAACTCTTTGGTGGTAAGACTGAACCATGAAGGGAAGGCAGATGAGGGACCTGAGTTTGCACCGTGCCCACTACATGGACAGAACTCCCAGCTATAAAACAGCCTTTTTCTCTTGCTGGCATGCCAGACTTCTGGGACCAGCACTGAGAGGAGAGTAAGAGGTTCCTATCATGGTAGACCTTTCATCTCTCTCTTCAGCTAAGTGGGTAAGTGTTGCCTGTCTCTTAGCTGCATCTCCTGTATCTGTCTGGAGCATCACAATGAGCTCCTTTGCTCCCCAAGGCCCTCTTCGTCATATCTACAGACTCTGCACACACGGGCAACGCCTGGGCTGGAAGCATCCCTGGCACACTGCCCCTCGCCTTGGTCTGCAGCTCCGCTCTCTGGACCATAACAGAAGTGAAAAGAAGTTTCTGGTATTTGAATAAACCACAGATGGAAACAGCATGCTGTCTTAAAGATCAGATCTAGCATGCAACTTTTTATTTCAGAGTGCTGTGCCAGAAGCCGGGTGGGAATGGGCTGCAAATCACTTTCCCGGGTGCCCAATGACCACTGCCTGCAGCAGGCTTGGAAATATCAATTTTTCATTTAAAATACTGTCTCTGGTTCCAATTCTCAGCTTAGGTCTGGTGACAAAAGCTGCTCAGCATGTGCAATCTGCAAAATAAGGATGCAGCTGGGAGCAGCTGGGGTGGTTTTGTTTGTTATTTCTTATCACACAGCAGTGCAGAGGAGAGACTTTCATGTGTCCGGGGGGGAGTTATCTCATTTAACATCAGCTGACTAAAGTTAGTCTGAGCTAGTCTGAGTTGGACTATCACCTCTCTTGACAGGCAAAGGGTAAGGCCTGGTCCAGAAAGGGAACCAGGCAATGTCTTCTACCCTTGTTGTTCCCCACCAGCTCAAGGACAAGGACATGGGATGATTCAGAACTGTGTTTTAGCTTCCACAGTCACAGCCCGTAACAGGAGTTTTTGGGCCACAATGTCACAGCCCTGAGGGTACTAATATGCCTGGCCAGCCTCCCTTCTGACCCCTACCCGCACGGGACCCGGGAGCCTTCAGCCCCTACCCGAGCTGTGGTGCAGGAGTGCTGGTCTCCATCTCTGTCACAGCCATGCCTACGCCTGGCCATGGACCCTGCTGATCCTGGCTGACTTCCCAGCCTGGCCCCAGACCTGCCTTGTCACTATGGACCTGCTCAATCATCACTGGGCTGCATCTGACCTGCTCACCGTCATGGGACCTGACCCTCATCTGCAGATCGATGTCCCAGTTTGACGTTGAACTGGGCAGCCTTTGACGATCCCCTAGGGAGCAACCAACTTGTTTTGCACCTGGATGCCCAAAACGGCTGAAGAAATTACTTACCCAGTGTCTGGCCAGCAAGCACACGCCCGTTCTCACCCAGGACAGCGGCACGCGCGTGCCTCTCGTTGGAGTACTGTACGAAGGCGTACCCCTTGTGAACGGAGCAGCCCACCACTCGGCCGTACTTGGAGAAAATGGTCTCCACATCTGACTTCTTGACCATGGCTGTGTTGAGATTGCCAATGAAGACTCTGGAGTTGATGGACTTGGGGTCATTCTTATTCGTGATGTTGCTCGTCTGCACCTTCAATGACATCTTGAACACCTGAATGAACAAATCGGGAGTCAGGAAGGTGTGCAAGAGAATTGCCCTTACAAAAAGGGGTAGGGGAGAAGTCTCCCAGCAAGCCTGGAGCGAGGGAACCAGCTCCTCAACTTGTACTAGTCGCAGCTGGGGGGATCCCATCTCCAGAGAGCCCTGTGCATTGGGGAGGCGACTGTCACAGCCAGCACAAAACTCTTGCTGGAAACTGAATTATCAGGATATCTGGGTGTACGCTGGTTGCTTTTAGGGGACAAAACAAGATTTAAATAAATTTTACATCTAAGTAAAAGCTTTACTACTATTATACAAAAGCTTTTACCTGTCTATACAGAATTACAATTCAAAGGGCTGCTCTTTTTACAGCAGTTTGCATTCAGCACCTTTGTTCATGCCCACCTTCCCGGGCTTTCCCCTGCTGAGCATCTCCCAGCACAGGCCAGCTCTCACCATGCACAGGGACAGACTCGTCCCCACAGATCCGTGCTTGCAACCGGAAGAAAATTTGAGTTTTCTGGATGCAAACGAAGATATTTAAGTGGTGAAGCAGCCCACGTGCCCCTGTTTGAAATCTGCACTCTGCTGCCTGCCTGCACATTTCCACGCTGGGCTTTGAGCTGAATTTTGTGCTAACAGGAGGTGTCACTGTTAGCTTGGGAATCACTAAGCCATCAGCTGGAAGCCACTCCAACCACTTCCCATAGCTGCAAGGCGTGATCCTCTAAGCTTCCTGTCTGGGGTATTTCATGGGCAGCCCCTGAGAACTGGCTTCATCTCTGAGGACTAAGAGGACCAAGGGACGGGGCTGGAAATTGTGTGAAATTAAAAGCTACTCTGGCTGCTGATCAGGCTGGCTGCTCACATTTCTGCAGCAAAAATTACAGCTGTCCAAAGATATCGGTTTGATTTTCATCTTCCAGAAACAGAGGGGATGCTTCGGGATCGCTATTGTACGCTGCATACATCGTGTGTGGTTGTTACCTGGGAAAGTCAGCTCAGAGCTGCGGACGGTATTTTATGATGCACGTTGAGGTGCTGCTCTACCCCAGCCCCTGCCAGCAGCACCCGCAGGTACTGCCCGCACCCGGGGCAATGCCACCGGGGTGTCCCCGACCCCAGGCGGTCACCGAGCCTACTGCCCGGCACAGGGGGATGCACTGCTGCTCAGGTCCATGGTGTCCCTAGCGTGTGCCTTGGCACTGGGCAGAGCTACAGTACCGCCTGGCTCTGGGGCTTTGGCTCTCTGGGCTCAAAGCCCAGGTCTGTCTGAGCAGCCTGGCCCACGGGGCTGTGGTGGCAGCTGCCTGGTGCATGGGTGCAGCTCCTGTGGACCTGGTCACGCTGGTCCCCAAGCCCTGGCAGGCTCCTCTGGCCCGCAGCCCAGCCTGCCTGAGTGTGCCGATGCTCTGGCTTCACCAAGCCCTAAACCACACAGCTAGTCTTTCCTCCACTCCTCACTAGACAGGAAGAGGCCTGGGCAAAAGCTCCAACATTTCCTGACATGCCTTTTGTGGTTGCACCCAAGACTTTCAAAGAAGCCAAATCCTCCTTCTTCCCTGTCTTCTCCTGAACAGAGCTTCCACACAGGACACGAAACCTCTGGTTGCTCCTATCTACCCCTAAACCTGTTAGGGAGATAACTTCATTATACCTATCTCACCGCTTTGCCAGGTGAGCCCCATTTTGGCTTCTTGGGTGATGGATGTTCTTCTGCTGGAGGCTGCTCAGCTACCGGCCCCTCAGGACACCCAGGGCAGCTGCTTCTGCCCGTAGTCCCATTCTGCCCGCACAGACAAGCATCAATGTGTTAGGGCTCACCACCAGCAGCTCTGTATCTCCAGGATTTAAAAGATCAGTCCAGCATGGAGGTAAAGAGACAACAGAGGAGACTCGCCCAGCACCACATGCAGATGGTGCTTGCAGCCTGATCCAGGGAGACGGAGTGTTTTAACACTGATTGTAATCAATGAGCTCTGAACGGACAAGCTGTGATGTCCAGACCTCTGACTTTTTAATTTTCAGAGCACAAAGGACTGGACACTCGATTCCTTTCATCATTTAAAGCCCAGAGCATTGGAGATACCTGGCAAGGCTGATGCTCTGCACGGAGGGGGGAGGATGCGATGGCACAATAAATCTTGTGTGGCTCTAACCCCCCTGACTCTATTAACCTACCACTGAGGCTGGAAATGATGTCCCTGCTAAAGCCAATCAAAAAAAAAGTTAGACTTTGTCTGAGTATGGCTTGTTATAGTTTCCCTTTCACCCTTACAGATTAAAAGAGCCAGAGACTTTTGTTTTATTATTTTAAAAACCATTCCTGGCAGACACAATGTTCCTAAAAAACACTGGAAAAAATAACCAAAGGACAGGACTTTTAAAGGCATCTAAGTGAATTAAATCCTCGTATCTTTGGCAAGTGGTGCCCAACCTCTTCAGGTTGCTCAAAGTTCCAACCCATATATAACACTTGCTTAATGCTATCTATTTTAATATATTTTTGCAGTGCAGTCTGGAAGAGGTTCACAAAGGAACCTGTCCCCATTCCTGGTGCAGAAGTGGAGGAAGAGCGAAGGCTGTTTCCAGCCATTCAGTCACTCTGAGTACCCAGCTTGAGCCTCACAGAGTCACTTCTCAGAAATCGCGAGTATCTCCAAAAAAGCCTGGATGGAAGCTGCTCCAGGATGACCAGTCCCCAGGAAATCTCCATCCTAAACCCTCCAGGATCAGCTGAGGCTGTGTGGGACCTTCAGAGAGCCTGCACACACATAGGGTACCTGTATCCAGGTAGCCCTGGATAGTCTTGCTACCCAAGGACCCATCCGACCCCTTGTGAGCCCATGGCTCTCCCTGCCCTGGGGTTTCAGCGATGTTGCAGGACAAAGACTTCAGCATGCAGCTTTACACTTGGTGACTCCTGGAGTTTCCAGTTCCTGATGCCCGTATATTTGTTCCAGAGCAAATCTGCCCTGGCACCTCTCTTGCTCACACTAGACCACGTTACATGGACATCCTTGGCTCCACCTAGCTGCTTCCCCTCTTGATACACTCCCACTTTTCCATCCTTGCTTATCTGCCAGAGTTGACGCAAGTCTCCTGGCCATTTTGCTACCTACCTATGGCCCTCCTTTCCCACATCCCCAGTCCTCAGATCCTTTATCAACTGGCCTCTGGGCAGAGTACGAGCCCTTTGGAGCCCCACCATCCAGCTTGCACTGCTCTTGGAGGCCAATCATCTGGACTGCCCAACTTAGATGCCACGACGCTGTGGGAAATCACGTCAAAAGCCTTCCTGAAGTCAAAGCAGACATCGCTCATGTCATCTTGTTCACACACTTCACCACGAAGAGCGAGTAGGTTGGTCAATCTGGCCATATCATTTCCAGGTCTGGCCTGGCGCCAGGCAGGAGGAATTCTTTCTCAACATAAAATATAGCACTTCTTAAATAAAATATACCCCACCTCTGTTTTCCTACCCCATCTCTGAAGAGTTTTACTGCTGCTACCGCAAGCCCCAGCTTAGGGACACACCAGGCTGCTGTTTGCCCAAACCCTTCCCAAATTCTTGCGAGCCCAGAAATGTGTTATTTACAATTGCTGAATCTCTGACCAGCTGGTTGCAGCTGCAAACACCAATTACATCAGGGCGCTGAGCTCCTTAAGCCTCTGTAGGAGGGATGTGGGTTAAGCTGCCTCTGTGCATGGGAATAGAAAGGGCTGGCTGGAGGATTTGGGTAGGATGGAGGTGTGTGAGGGCATAAAACACATGTTTTTTCCCCCCCAAATCTAGTGGGCTCCCCCCTCTCAGCAGGTGTAACATGAGCAAGCTCTGCTGCTGTCAATGGATCCTCCACTTCGTGGGTTTGCTTTAAAAATAAAAGAGCTGGATGAAGATGAGGTGTTTCTCAGATGGGCACTAAGCCACCAGATGGATCTTCACTTGGAGAAGGACATCTGTCTCCTAAGGCATCTCCCTTGGCTGCCACGGAGGTGGGAGGGTGTAGAGGAACCTCTCCCAGGTCCCTGCTCCCCCAATCCCACCTTGCACCCTCCTTGTCTGGCTCCTGAGACCTTCCCCCACGCTTCCTGCAGTTGGACCAGTGTGCGCTTGTCCCCTGCCTGTCTCCTCTCCTCCCCACCCTGGATACTGGGTCCCCCCAACCCGACAAAGCCTGTGACTGTAGGAGCTGGAGATGGGAGAACTCACTTTCACCACCCATTGCAAGGACCAGTGATGGAGTGGGGAGCTCAGCGTACACCTCCCTCAAGCAGAGCCTTTCCCTTGGCTCCCTGGTGGAATCCCCAGTGGCTTCGGGGCCATCTCAGGACACTGCAGGCCTGTGCAGGAGATGTGCCTGTGGCTGATGAGAGATGGGATGGGGCCACCAGATGGCAAACTCAAGGTCAGGCAAGGTGACGGCCACGCCGCTGGGTAAGACTTGGGAGGAAGCCAACAAGGACCTGACGTCTCTGCGGATGGGATGCTCTCCCAGTGCCATCTGCCCACTGACTGCTGTCCCTGCCCAGGCAGGGAGCGTTGTCCGAGGCTGGGGAGCTGGAACTCCGGGCTTCCAGCACAGCATCGCTCTAAGATTTCAGGCACCATCAGTGATGTCCTCCATTTAACAAGCAGCCTGCGTGGCTCTCATTTAGCAGCTTATAAAAGAGTTCAAAAACCCCATGCAAAGTGCTCTTCTGCTCTTTGCTCTTCTGCTCTTCTCTGGAGAGACCAGCCTCCCTTGCTTTCTATGTCATTTAGGGTTTCTTCTTGCACACAATATTCATTTCACATCACTTATTGGTCCCCTTACTGCAACAACTGGAAAGGACATTTTAATCATTGCATATTTATATTTCGTACTCCACCTGACTGCATCCCAGGACAGCATTGTGCCCAGATTAAATCCAGCACAGCATCAGCCATGTCAGCTTAGTGTCCCTTCCACATGAAACAGCGCAGCTCGCCAGTGCAGCGCTACGAAGTACGGTGTCTT